TTAGACCAGTTTCTGGACTGGTTTTAGACTTGGTTTGAACCGGTTTAGACCAGTTTCTGGACTGGTTTTAGACTTGGTTTGAGCCAGTTTAGACCGGTTTCTGGACTGGTTTTACAGTGGGTGTTTACTGGTTTAGTGTTGGCTTTAGACCCAGTTTCCTTTTGGGTCAGGTTTCTGACTTGGTGTCAGACTGTGTATGTCGGACTGGTTTCAGACCTGTTCTGAACTTTAAGCTGGTTCTTTAAAGTTGGTTTCTGCTGGTTGTGCTGAACTCATTAGAGTTCTGGTGCTGACTCGGTCTCAGACGGTGACTCCGTGATGTTCACATCTAATAAATCTGCTAAGTGAGAGCTCAGGGGACGTGTCAGCCACCAGGTGGGATGAACCGGTCTGAACCAGTAACACTCACCTGACACCTGCCTCCTTCCAGCTGGACTACGTGGTGACATGCGCCGTCTGCACGCGCTCAGACGCAGGAGACATCCACATCCACAAGAAGAAGTGTCAGGTAGGAAACCGCTAGCTGTTAGCTCCATTAAAATGCTACCTTTGAGCTAGTCTCTGATTGGTGCTGTGTCTGTCACCTGACAGGAAGTGTTTGCGTCTCCCAGTAAACACGCCATGGACAGCAAAGGGGAGGAGTCCAAGATGAGCTACCCCAACATCTTCTTCATGATTGACAACTTCGAGGAGGTAAGGGAGCTTCATTCTGATCTCACATCCAGCGTTTAGTTTTTGCTGCCTCGCTGATCCGACACCTGGACTCACCTGGGCAGGTGTTTTAAAAGCCACCTGTAGAACAGCTCAGACATGTTGGTTCACAGAGAACAGCTGAGCCTCTGACGGAGGATTTGCTGCTTTTCTTTATTTAATGTCGTCGTTATTTTTCGTATGTAGACAAACAGAAAGTCCAGCGTCCGAAAACGAAACCTTCACAGAGCCGACGGACACTTTGAGCGTTCAGCAAGTAGACAAACAGACCCGATGAAGGGAGACGGGCCTGTTCTACTTCATTGGGGGAATGATGCCACGTCACTGAGACGAATGTGACGCTGATCAGCGGCTGTTGTTTCTAACGGGGATCGTTCAAATCTGCACGGAGGCACAAAGACGGCTGGTTGTCCTGACGTCTGCTCACGTTTCAGGACATTCTTATGTAGAAACACAGAAAATTGTCAATGGTCCACCAACCGGACAGCCCAGACAGAACTCTGCTCCTTCAGTGGTCACGTTGCACAGCAGAGACCAAACCTGATGACGCTCTTTCTCACTTCAGAGCGTGTTCAGAGTTACATAACAGACGTGAACAGATCTGCTGCAGACACAGGAGTCAGTCTGAGGGTTTGTTCTTCACGTCTCAGAGCAGAAGAAGCTCCACGGATCATCTCTAACCTTCAGCCCACTCACTGAGCTGCTGCCTCCAGTTCAGCACCAGATAAATGTGTGTTGGTTGATATTCCTGATCAGGACCGAGCTTCAGACTCTGACGAACGCCGCTGACCCAGACAGGAGACGCTTTACAGGAACACGCTTCTTTGCTTCCACTTATTCACAGGTTGGACTTCCTCCTGATCAGTGGAAGCCGACACTTGGTGCTTTTCCTTCAGTAAACACTAAATCCTTGTCCCAGTGTTTCTCCTCTGTGGTGTCGGTACTTTTACTTTAATATCAGAGTTCTTGTTCCAGCTCTGCCTCTAACGATGCATCAGAAATGTTTTTATTTCTTACTCGTCAGCATCATAAACCAGTTAAACGTCAGAACCACAGCTCGGTCCTTCCACGCTCCCACTAACCCGTTCTAATCATGGGATTACGAGGTATTTGTTCGCGAAGGTCCCTCTCCTACTTCCTCATTAGTATCAGCAGGTTTTATCGCGTTAATTCAACATTTGAGCTGACAAAACGTCCTCCAGCTTTTTTAATTGAATAAATGTGATGCGGTGTCACTTGGTCTCCACATCAGGAAGCGAAGCGTCAGCTGACCTGTCAGCGGCGTGGCTGCTGTGAGCTCCCACCAGCTGCTTCCTGCTTGGACGTTATAACCAGACTGACTTACATTCAGACTGCTGAAGCTGTCTGAGTCCCGTTAACGAGTTTCTGCACTAACGCCTCGTTTTCAGGTCGACTGCAGTGAAAAACACCAGATTTCTTTTCAGGGACAAAATGAACACGTGTTCAGCTTATTGTGCCTTTAGAGAGAGAAATGACTGCAGCAGCCATCTTTGTTTCCTCACAAGCACAGACAGAAGGAGCTGTGGGCTGTGATTGGTCGGTCTGTGCAGGTGTATTCATGTGACCGTGTCGCTGCAGGTGTTCAGCGATATGACGGTGGGAGAAGGTGAGATGGTTTGTGTGGAGCTGGTGGCCAGCGACAAGAGCAACACCTTCCAGGGCGTCATCTTCCAGGGATCGATCCGCTACGAGGCGCTCAAGAAGGTCTACGACAACCGGGTGAGCAGAGTTAGCAAACTGCTAACAACAACATCCTAGTGTAGCTCGTTGGCATGCTAACACTAAGTGTCGTTTCCAAAGTCCAGCTAAGAAGGAGGAAAAGTCTGCAGGTTTGTAAGCGTGTGGTAATAAAACAGAGAGTTAGCAGTAGGCTCATGTTAGCAGCTGTTGGTTAATGTTAGCATTTAATCATTGTTAGCCGTTGGCTAATGTGATCTGATGTGTGTTGCTGCTGCAGGTTAGCGTCGCCGCTAAGATGGCCCAGCGAATGTCTTTTGGCTTCTACAAATACAACAATATGGAGTTTGTGCGGATGAAGGGTCCTCAGGGGAAGGGCCACGCTGAGATGGCCGTGAGCCGGGTGCCCACCGGGGACACGTCGCCCTGCGGCACCGAGGAGGACCAGGTGTCCCCGATGCACGAGAGGGTGAGGACGGACTTCACCGGGAAATAGATCCGTTGGTGGTTCAGAGTCCAGCAGTCTTCAGCTCGCTGCTCACAACAGGAAGTCAGACTTCCTCTGATGTGTTTCACTTCTGCTAGTCTGAACACAAGAAGAACCAGCAAAACCCAGAAACAGCCGAGTGCTCAGCAGAACTGCACAAAGAAATCAGGTCATATCAATAATAGATGCTGCTGGACTGAATCTGCATCTTTTAATAGTCTCAGTGTGACAGACGTCTGATCTGAGTTCAACAGGAAGTGATGCTCTGATTATTGATCCGACAACAGCGATCAGAACCTGCAGACTGATGTGATGTTTATAAAGTAGGACAGGACGACTCAGAACTGCTGAAAAATGAATGAATAAAGCTGTAAATGGAGCACGTCTCCAGTTTTTCTTCTAAATATACGTCAAGCTGCACAATTATTTCCAGGAAGCTCTCCAAGAAATGAAGACACTCTGCTAGTTTCAGATAAAGCTGCCTCTCAGCTTCCTGTGAAGTGGCTGATGTGGAATCTACCTGTCTGTGGTCTCAGGTGACGTCCTTCAGCACTCCTCCCACCCCCGAGAGGAACCGGCCCTCCTTCTTCTCTCCTTCTCTGAGGCGTAAGATGCCCCGAAACCGGATCGCTGAGATGAAGAAGTCTCACTCTGCTAATGACAGCGAGGAGTTCTTCAGGGAGGAGGAAGACGAAGGTACACACCTCAGTTTGGGTTTGATGTTCCGTTAGGTTCTTTGTAAATAAAGTTTTCTCCTTATTTTTGGGTCTCTGTCAGATCTTCACACCACCACCAACCTTCGCTCTCGCTCTCTGTCGGGAACCGGACGCTCTCTGGTCGGATCCTGGCTCAAACTCAACCGAGCTGAAGATTACTTCCTGCTCTACTCTCACCTGACCTACGTCACCCTGCCGCTGCACCGCATCACCACAGGTAAGAGCTCTGCACACCTGTGCACACCTGTACATGCTGCATCACATCACCAGACTGGCCTGTGCAGGCGAACAGCTGGAAGTACTGAAAATATGGGAAAAGTTAGCATTTCTCTATCACTTT